CAGCGTTTAACGGTTCTCGATGCTCGGTGCTGGCCTAATGTGCGCACTGATGCGCATTTCTGAGCTCCCCCAGCCCTGGATGGCGCAGCGCAGGGACTGCAGCTGGGGCGTGTAACTGGGCCATTTGTGTAACTGGCACATAATCAACAGTTGGTTAGTCAGGCCTCATGTCTGGGCCATCCGGCTAGGGCTCCAGTCGGTGTATTCATATTTTTAAGCACGCTCGTTATCATAATGTGTTTTGCTCCATTCGGAGGCTGTTCCACATTTTTGGATGTACCGGCAGCCAGCAGTCAGCAGTGCACATGGCTCAGCTGCCCTGTAATCAGCGAGAGGTGTAAGTGACCTGAATATACACTGTTATTGCTCTGCAAAATGGAAAAGCGATTCCAGCAATTGCTTTGCTTTTTCTGCTTTGATTAAAAAAGCATTATCTTCCTGAGCGTGCCATGAAATTGAGCTAAGCTGATCCAAGGCTCAAAGCCCAAGCTTAAATCTTGTAATATTTGATTGAATACAAATTTGTATTTGAAATTCAAATTATATATATTCAATTTGTATATATATAATAATATTATTATTATTATTATATATTATATTATTATTATTAATGTGAAATTTATATTCTAAATATCTTATAGTTGGTTAGCTAGTTTCATATGCAACAACATACTCCAAAATAACACTCTAGCTTAAACAGTCTGATAAATTATCTAAATCCTTTTAAATTTCTTTTGTTTTTTTGCTTTCAGAGAATAGTTTTATTGCATATTAGCCCAGCTGCGACTAACAATATTTCTTTAATGCCTTTATTTTATAAAATTTATTAAAGACACTAAAGCCTAGAGATATTTATCCATATATATACATATATAATTTTTTATAAACTTTTTCAAAGCCTTTTGCTAGTAAAAAGGACTTATTCTACAATTCTTGTTGTAATTCTAAACCAATAATGCAAGAATGGAATTTTTCGATTATATTTAATATGCTTAAATATCCAGACACATTATTTTACAACAATGACAGTTACAAAATCTCTTAGTGTTGCTGCTGCCCACCACACTCTCTGTTAAATTTATGAAAAATCTTTTTTAGTCACTGAGATATTGACGGAAAAAAACACTAGAAGTTAATGAAAAGGAGTTTAAGTTAAAGAGGCTATTAGTAGCAGGAGAACAGTCATATTTATATATATGAACTATTCCAGTTTAACATTCAGATTGAGCATATTAAAAACTTTTGCCATCTGTTGATTGATTAACAATTTATTGCTATAATTTGCCACGCAATGAAGATAGAAGAAGTCAGCTGCTTTTAAAAACTGTTGAGGCTAAATTTCATTATAGAAAAAACTACTTCCATTTATTTTATATAAAATCACCTCTAATTTATCCCTCAGTCAAGAAAGCTCAGCTATTCTCTACTTTAAAACATGCAACGCTCATTGCTAAGACTTCTTGACTTAATTTTATGAAATATGTTTCCTATTACAGCAATGCTCTTCCACTTAATTGTGGCCAGTCTCCACGCACGCATGATATTTTTGGCAAAAGTTCAGGCCAAATGCCATTGACCAAGTCAAAAGCAATCGCATAATTGGCCAACACATAAGTTAAAAATAAAAACCAAATAAAACTATTTTTCAGCCTCAAATTATGCCTTCTTCAATTAACGCCCAAAGGCCACACAAAACTGAGCTACTAATATACGCTCATATCTCTAGATTCTAGCGCAGGCCGAACGGCGCGGGGCTGGGGCGGGTTGAATTGGCTCATTGGAATGAAGGCAATTACCAATTATCTACTGTTTTCTACACAAATTTAACATAATTTGGCCAGTTTTGCGTTCAAATTGTGCCACAATTGTGGAAGTTGGCTGTGGTCAGGGCCAACCACGCGCCACCACTAGCCAAGTGAGGGGCGGCAGGTAGCCGGGCAGCCGAGTAGTGCCGGCCAATTGTGGCCACAGTCGAAGATTATTATTTTGGCTACCAACTGCCAAATGTATTTCGCATAATCGAAAGTGACCGAACCGCAGATATTTGTCTGATCCATTGTGTGCGGCCCCAGCAGCTCCAGCAGCGGTAACGGTCTCTGCTCCACGCTGGTGGGGCGTTGGGGTGGCTCAGTTGGTGCGCTGGTGCGCCGCTCAAGCGCACAGGTTGAAACTATAGCAAAAAAAATCAAACAAAAAACCAAAAAAATGATTGATGCCAATACAGCGCCAGGCGAATACAACTTAAAATTCAGTTAAAACACAAAGCAGCTACCAATATAACAAAAAGCAGCAACAACAACAGCATTCAAAAGATATAGAAACAAAAGACAAAGTGTAGATAAATAAGTGTGATCTTCTTGTCGCTTGCCAGGCTACAAAAATACCCTGCGATCGAGCAGTCAAATCGGTCTGGTTCTTAACACTTTGTAGAGCTTTCGTTGCACGCAGTTTTAGAAATTCTCTAATATAACTTCTGTGTCAATAATTTCCGTATATCTAGAGTTCACTTCAGATTTCATTGCTTCGAAATTAGAAATATTATGCATTCTTTCTAACTATACATAAATCGAAAGACCAAATGGCCCCATCCAAGTTTTGCTGTATAAAAGTAGTCAGAAAATATATATGACAAGATATCGATATTTATCGATTTCTGGCAAGTAATTTACAATTAGCTATCGATAATACTACTCGTTTACTAGTGCTTTTAACTATTGCTACTACTAACTACCTTAACTATTGCTACTACTATTACAAACCCTTTACTACTACTACTTCTTTGCTAACCCTTTACTACTACTACTACTTCTACTACTACTTCTACTACTACTACTTCTACTACTACTTCTACTACTACTTCTTCTACTACTACTACTTCTACTACTACTACTTCTACTACTACTTCTTCTTCTACTACTACTTCTACTACTACTACTTCTACTACTACTTCTTCTACTACTACTACTACTTTTACTACTACTACTACTTCTACTACTATTACTTCTACTACTACTATTACTACTAGTACTTCTTCTACTACTGCTACTTCTTCTACTACTACTACTTCTTCTACTACTACTACTACTTCTTATTCCACTATTACGACTACTTTTCATTACTACTACTTTACTACCATAACTACTATTTTTACTATTTTCTACTACTACTTAAGTTCTTGAATACTGCTACTTTTATTTCTCATACTACTTTTTGCTACTACTATCATGACTATTACTACTAATATTATTTTTCTTACTACTACTATTTCTGATTTCTATTAATACTTCTTCTACTACTACTACTCCTTTTTTCAACTATGACTAATACTACAATTACTATTATTGTTATCTATATACTAAGTATACAAGCAACTGACTATTTATATACACAAATTAATCCAGTGAAATTTCATTAAATACTAGAAGATATCAATAAATTGAAGAGAAATTTAATTGCATAAACTAACGTTAATTCTATATTCTATTTCAATAACTTATCATGCAACATTCTGATCGGAATAAAGAATTGTTACATATGCTATCTTTTTTTATACACATCTCACTCATTCTGCTTGCTGCCTTAGCTCAACTCCAATACACCCATTGTTAACTGTTTCCAATTGCAATAGGGTATCCAAAAACAAAACAGAAAAAAAAAATGAAAAGTATTGGTAGCTCATAGTTTTAACCGCATTTCGCCGAAGGCGTAACACACTCTAAACCGGAAGGGTAATTAACTCGCTTTGCCGATCACGCCTTTGCATTCAGAGCAGATGGATGGATCGCTGGCTGGATGGATAGCCCGATAGATACGAAGATAGATAGATGGCTGAATGAATGAATGGTTGGGTTTGGTTTTAGCTCTGGCTCTGACTCTGGCTCTGACTCTGGCTCTGACTTTGGTTTCGGTTTTGCCTTGCTAGCTTCGTATATTAAAAAGCTATAAGTTTCAGAGTTATTTCTTTTTTCTTTAACTTCTCTTTTTTTATTTTGTTTTTGGCGCTGCGCGAATGATTAATAATAAGGCAACTTCATAGGCAAATGCGTTCAAATGATGTTTGGGGCGCTGCCAGGATTGATGGGTGTATAAAGTCTTCTTTTATGCGCTCATTTACAGTAGATGTGCTTTTTAATGGCTTTATTATGATTGCCAAGTGCTTGCGCCGTGTGGTTTTCTACATCCATCTCCTGCCCTCTCTCAGTCTCAGATATAAAACAAAATTATGAAACTGCTTCAATTAAGTTATTTGTTACAAATAAACCAAAAATTGAGCAACCTTTTGAGTAATGTTTAACTAGCCGAAAGTCGAATATCATTTAACATAATTTATGTCAATATTTATAGTTTTTTGAGACGCGATTCTTCATTATTCAAATGAAAATCTGAAATTAGTTTGCGGCTTCTGGCAAAGTTAACGCAGTTAAGTTCAATCAGAAATTCCATTTTTTTATGTGATTGTTTTATTTATTGATTTTTCAATATATCCATAACGATCTTTCAAATTCTTTCATATACATATATACTATATATATATATATATTAAACGTTAAGTAAATGTTATAAAATTTGTTTTGAGAATTGCAATAATTAGCACTAAACATATTTAAACTTAGTCATAATGCAGTTTACATATACATAGCCTATATATATATATATGTATATGTGCATATATATATATATATATATATTAATGTGCTCTATATAGCACACTCATTCAAAATATCCGCTGCTGTGCGTACATCTTTATACGATATTCCTCACTTAAATATATTTACAGCAAATAACTAAAACTTAAGTTTAACAATTAAATGACATATGTTATTTATATATATATATATATATATATATACATATATATATATATATATATATATATATGTGTGTGTATATATAGAATTAGTTTACATTTAAGTATATTTTTTTATGTAGAGTTTAAAATTTAAAAAGTTTACAGTTTTTTTATATATGAGCTATTGAAACATTTCTTTAAGATATAGTTTAGTGTATTAGAATTTTAAACCAAATTTTCTTTTTTTGTTTTTTGCTTACTTCACCGTCTTTTTCCATTGATTGCATAGCTACAAATAGTTTTTTTTTTTATATTTTGCTTGTAAATCATTAGATGTGTTAGAAGGAAAAATGCGAACTACTTAAAGATTAGTTTTCCCTCTCGGAGGCACGCTTAAGTAAAGTTTTTCTTTAAAGTAATTTAAGAGTTTTACAGTTTGTTCAGAGTTTGTGGCTCTAAGTGCTGACGGCGATCGTTTCGCCGAGACCTGTCTGATTGTTGTTGCTGCTGCTGTTGCTGTTGTTATTGTTGTTGTTGTTGTTGTTGCCATTAGCCAGCAGCTCCTTGTCAAAGTTGACGGAGTGACGCGTTGAAACGGACAACTGATCATCGCTGCCCGCATACTCCTCGGTATCGCCATCCGCGCCGCCCAGACTCGTGGGCGTATAGACGCGCTTCATGAAGGAGCGTATATCATCGAAGCAGGCCTCCTCCCGATCGTTGGCCTCATTCGAGCTGGGCGAGTCGTTGTACTCAAAGCCGCCCGCGTCCGCTTCGTGCTTCTTCAGATGCCGATCGAGATTCGTTTGCTGGCCAAAGCAGCGATCGCACATGTGGCACCGGAACGGACGCTCCTTGTTGTGGATGTTGCGCACATGTCGCTGCAGATTCGAGGAGATGCTGAAGGCGCGATCGCAGTATTTGCACGTGTACGGCTGCTCGCCCGTGTGGGTGCGCAGGTGCCGGGTGAGATTGGCGGAGCGCGGGAATACCTTGCCGCAAAACTTGCAGGTGTAGCGATCCTTGAGCTTGCCACCATTGGTGGCGCCGCTGCTGCAGGCATTGGCAGCGGCGGCGGCCAGGCTGGCGGCTCGCAGAGCCTCGTGGAAATTGTGCTCGGGCGGAAACGGCAGATGACGCGAGCTGCTGCCGCTGCTGATGACAGCAGCCGGCGATTTAAGTGGCTCAAAACCTGGCCGTCCGCCCATTTGGCCTAAAAAATGAAACTGTGGCGTATTGAAGCGTGAGCGATAGAACTCCTCCAGCAGCAACTGCGGATGCAGCTGCCGCGGACAGGCCATGACCGACGCAGCAGCCGCCGCCGCCGAGGCCGTGCCCACGGCAGCAGACGCCGCGCTCTCAGACATGCTGCTCAGCTCACCGCCGGTGCTAATGGGCGGCGAGGGCGAGGGCGTGGGACCGGGCGAGGCGCTAACGCTCGGCGTTGGACTGCTGCCCTTGAAGGACTGATGCGAGGTGGACGATTCGCCGGAGCTGTGCTTCATCAGCTTAACAGGCGGCTGCCCAGCAGCTCCCTCAGCCAGCTCCACGGTGGGCGTGGACATGCGACTGGACAGCGATACGGCCAGCGGCACGGGCGTGCTGGCCGTGCACAGCGAGCTGCGTCGCTTGCGACTGATGGACAGATCCAGAGGCAGTATGTCCACGCTGCCCTTGTCCTGCTCTGGCTGCAGCTCCGTTTCAGCGGGCGGTGGTGTGCTCATTATGTCAATGGATTTCTGTGGGTAGAAAAGGGAATAAGTCAATGCTGCAACGACTGCTACAGAGCATCCGCCAACTTACCCTATCATTGTCATTATCATTGTCGTTATCATTGTCATCATCATTGTCATTCTCATTGTCATTATCCTGATCATGATCATCAGGCTGTGCTGGCTGTGGGCCGCTAGGCTCCGCCTTTGACTCCGCCTTTAGCTCCTTGCTGGACTCCAGCTTCAATTGCAGCCGATCATAGGAATTGGACTCCTCCTCGTCGTCATCGTCGCTGGGCTGCAGCTCGGCCTTGATGGACTTGCGCTCTGGGGTGCTGGACTCGCGTTTGAGACGCGGCGACTCCGATTTAAGGCTCATCGCTGCCTGCAGCTGCTGCTGGAAGGCAGCATTCGGCGAGACCAGCGGCGCCACCAGACCGCGCCCCATGTCGCCCAGATGCGGATTGGGAAACATGTGCGGCAGCAACGGCTGCGGCCGGCAGTTCGTAAAGAAGTTGGGCAGCGCGTAGGGCGGAAAGCCCGGAAAGAATGTGTGCGAGGGATGCATCGAGAACATGTGATTCGGCGGCGTCGCCATGGCGGCTGCGTCGCTGCTATTACTGCTCGCTGCGGCAGCGGCGGCGGCTGCAGCGAAGCGCTGATGTGCACCGGCTGGCAATAGAAGCGGCGACTGCTGCGACGCCTGCTGATGTGACGCGTGCTGCTGCTGCTGGTGCTGGTGCTGGTGCTGTTGCTGCTGCTGCAGGCGACTCTGTTGGCTGCTGCGAAAGCTGTCGGAGCTATCGCAGAACTTCTTGTGCTTGGAGAGTGAGGTGACCGTGCTGAAGCTCGTATTGCACTTGTTGCACTTGATCTGCATGCGACAGTCGGCGTGCATGCGCTTGTGCCGGCACAGATTCGAGAACTGCGTGTAGGCCTTGAAGCAGACCTCGCAGGCGAACGGCTTGACCGAGGAGTGGATGTGCTGGTGCTGCTTCAAGCCGGACGATGTGGCAAATGTTTTACCGCACTCCGGGCACGGATGACTGCGAGCGCCGACGTGATAGGCGCGAATATGACGCTGTAAATTCGATGGGTCACAGAATACCTGCACAGAGACGGCAAAAAGAAGGTAAAACAATGAGTTTTCAATTTGAATACGAGCATGAGTGTTAAGTGTCTTTCGGAGAGCGAATCGCAGCTACCTGTGAGCGCGCTGGCTTGCTCTGGTTCGAGTGCCAAATGAAATGAAACTGAAATTAATCAATCATCTGCTGCTGTGGCCCCTAAACGGATCTATGCGAGCGCCTAAACAATGCTCCGAGACCGAGCGACCGACACTCTCAGATTACGCAAAGCTAACAACAACTCCACCCACTACCAGCAGCAGCGGCAGCGGCAGCGGCCGCAACACCTTCGTCAATTATTAACATCAATTGCTACAATTGTCGTAAGCCTGGCCATCCCCGGGACCCGCTCTGCGCCCTTGCCGCCCGCTCCTAATGCTACACATTTGCCTAGACAGCTGAACAAAAACTGTGATCGCTTCACCAAAAAAGGTGACTTTGTATGTGTATATATAGAGCATAATAATTTATTGTCTGAATGGCAACTAACTCTTGGTATTTCTCGAGCACTATGAAAGATCTAAGATGAAAGATTCCTGAAATTTCCTACATATAGAAAGCAAGCAATCAATGAATTACTTCTACTCTAACTGATCCGTAATCCTAGCACATCATCCAAGTCACTATTTAGAGCAAGCCCTGCGAATACTGCGACTTCAATTGCTGAGCAACCCTAGTCTAATCCATAGCTTGGATACTTTTCGTATGGGGCAGGGGGCACCTAACGCAATGACAGATCGAGCCATTCATTTTTTTTTTCTTCGTTTGAGCCAGGCCAAGTCTGGCGAAGTGTGCGAGCCAGGTACCAGTTTCTCAGTACCCACTTGAAACTTGATTTCGGTCAGCCCCCACCCGCGCTGCCTTTTACGAAACTGTTATGCCTAATCATGCTGTCATAATGCGCTACGAATTCATATCAAACGATGATCGAGTCAGCCTTTTTTGTCTATCGGAGCGGCAGAGAGAGACAGAGACAGAGACACCGAAGACAAACGGCGACACACAAGAATAGCTCGTGCTATAACTACATCAAATGGATTAGATTCAACTACCTCTCCAAAAAGGCGAAAAACGCCACAAAAGACAACAACAACAACAACTAGCTACAAATGAAGCCTCAGCTTCGTGGATTCAGTGTAGGTGTTGTGGCATGCAGGCAGCTGAGGCAAGACGAACTCCGGTGGAGCTCGCGCAAAGGTTGGTCTGTGGAATGCGATTGTCTGGCATGGCAGTTGTTGCTTGTGTGGCGTTAGGCTCGTACGTGGGGTCAGCCAAAGGCGTCTGGAGTAGGGCACTAAAAGATGATGTGGAGATCTGGTGCAGGCAGAAGTGCAAACTGGTTAAAGCTTGCCCCAGACCCGACCAGCTGCCAGGCCCAGCAAATCTATTTCGCCAAACTAAAATACTAATTAAGAGTAAGCGGGAGAAACTCTTTCAGATTACCAGCCAGATCCTATGTGTATAAATTTACTTCTTTTTCACTTTAGCATCTCTCGAGAAAGCGAGATGAGCAGATATTGAGGCAGGCAAAGGAAACAGCTTACAATAGATGCTGCGTCTACAGCATATGAGCAAAATATAGAATTGATAGATCACTCGAGTTCAAGCCCTTAGGCCAGTAGTTAAGCTACTCCAATTTAGTTCAAGTCTCAAGTACAGAGCTGGTTCAGTGAAGTGCAGCTAAGCGCAAATGGAAAACATGTTGGATCCGTGGCAAATCCCTTTTGTAACGCTTTAAGCCGCCTGCTTGAAAAACAAACAAAGCTGACAGCTGCAAAGACCCCCGACAGATTTTTCTTTTTTTCTAATTTTTTTTTTTTTTTTTTTTTTGGGTTGCCCTGTCAATGCTGAACCTGGAGAGCAGCGAAAGTATTTGGCCTTTTATGTAGCATTGGCCAGTTACGAGTGCCCCGCCAGATCGATCATCATTTGTTTAGCCTCAGTGGCTCCCGTTTATGTCGCAGCAGCTGCTGGGCTAGGGGCCAAGGGCGGTGCCGTGCGGTGCCCCACCACAATGCGTGCTACTTACATGCCACCGAAACAATTACAGAGCGCTAAGTAAACTAACTGTAATGCAACGATTGAAATACCGTTGGAAGTGCAATGAGTGGAAAAAAAGAAGAGAAAAAAGGGAAAATCCAAAAGAAAAAGCTTGATCTGTGCTGCAAGCTGCAAGCTGCAAGCTGGTAGCTGGTAAGGCTGACGACCACAAGATTGTAATCAACATGCCATTAAAACATCTTTGCCAGAGATGTCGAAGCCGTTGTCGATGACAATGACGAAGTGCTGGACCCTGTAACGAATCGCTCGGAATCGAATCGAATCGAATCGAAACGATGCATAGATGGATGGATGGACGGCCTGGCCCGGCCCGGCCTGGCTGACTGTTTGTATAGATAGTGATTCGACTTGAAAAAGCTCCTCTTAAGCCCTTTAATTTTACATTGGCATTCAAATGCAGCGCGAAGATGTACAACAACAACCAGAAAGTCGACTCATTACCCAAGCAGCTGAAATGGTTCGCTTAAGTGTTTTGGATGAGTACACGCCCTGATTTCGTATTACCACAGCGCGTGCGATAGCTGCAAAGGTTTTAGAGACAACAGACAAGAGACAAGTAGGCAAAGAGGTTTCTGCTGTTGTTCAGGCCTGCGGCTATTGATCCGCTTGAAATCAAAAGTCTTTAGCCGTGTACCACATACCGCCAGCATCAGCTGATATAATAATTAATGACCTGATCAACTGTGCTGGCCAAAAGGGCCTTACCTCGCGCCTAACAATGCCCCGAAATTACTTGTTCGATAAGGCAAAGCTGCGATTGTCACAGCTAGCTTTGAGCTGGGCACAGAGTTCGATCTCTTTGTGGGTGTCAGCTGTACTTAATGCAAAATATCTGGAGTTTGAGCAAACTAAATTTATTTACTAATTTTAAATATTTCCTAAGAGCTCACAATTGTCATTGACAGCTTGACAAGGACAACTTGCCAGTGCCTAAACTGTTTTCTAGAATAGTTACTAGTTCGATAGAGACTTCCTTTCAGTCTCTGCTTTTCTTTCCCCCGCCATCTGCTCGCTCATTCATTTCATATAAATTTCCTCACTTACCTTGGAACAATTTTCACAGGAATATTTCCTTATATTATTGTGGGCGATGGCTCCGTGCTTGATCAGCAATGGACGATGGCAGAAATGCTGATCACACAGCTCGCAGGCGAATTCTCCGCGTTTGAAGTGATGCGCGCCCACCAGATGATCATCCAGGCTGTAAGTGCAAGAGAACATAAACAATTGTGAGTTGGGCTTTACTTTCATGGCATTTGGTGGTTGAGTTCGCTTATCGCCATCGCTGGCATCGGCAAATGGAAATTAGCATTTGTGACAGTTGGGACAAAAGCTGGGCACAATCGACAGCTTCAATCAGCGTCATTTGCGTCAGTTCACACGACCCCATCCATCGCTCGCTCTCTGTCTCTCTCTATCTCTCTCTATGTTTGCCTTTAGCTACTTTGTTTGTTGTACAACAGCAGGCAACGCCCATACCCTGCCACACACACACACACACACACACACACTCAGCCAATGCGACTCCCCACTTGCTGTTGGCGTCAATTAGTCAAATGATGTTCAATATTTAATATGCGACGCTGATAAGCGATCGCGCGCCCTGCAACAGCTGCGGCCAATGAGTGTCCTCTGCATCCCCGCCTCCCACTCGCTGTGTGTCCTTGATTGTGGAGCAGCGAGTGCGATGCTTATCGCGGCAGCCCACGTGGGAGGAGCCGCCGTCGACAAAAGGCGGACACATTTTTAGCATATATATATATATGTTTTTTTCTTTCGATTTTCCCTTCTTTGTTGTGATTTTTGTCATCGACATGGAAGAGTTGACTGGGCCAGTGCTTCAATCCTCTTGTGCGTTTGAAGTGTGGGCGTTTGTGTGCTTACAACAACAACAGCAACAGCTATAAACTATGCATGTTCAACATCAGATAAATTGCAAAGCCTGACGGACTCAGCGACACGCAGACATCAGACAGAGAGAGAGAGAGAGAGAGAGACAGACAGAGAGAGAGAGAGAGCAGAGAGTAGGACAGCGAGCTTCTCCTTTCACTGCCAGCGCTTCTCATATAAAATTCCATAAATCACACACGCACACACACTAATAAAAGGTGATGTGCGTGTATCTGTGTGTGTGTGTGCCTGGCCACCCACTCATGTGGCATGTGGCCCCCACTCGCTGCCCGCCTCGAATCAAATCAAAGCGCACTTTAGCACTTGAACGCAAACAAACTACGAAGGGAGTCCAATAGAGGAGCGAGAAATGTTGTTTTCGTGTAAAGCATTTGTAAATATTGTACAAAAGTTTTGCATTAAACATTGTAATTCAGATTGATTAAGGATCTGTTTAGCCAGAAATGAATAGCTCTAATAGATGCAATCACTCTCAACATCCAGTGTTAAAAACTTGTTTTCCTCTTTTATATTACTTTAGCATGTAGAATTGGGATATTTGAAAGTAAAATAAAACTTGAAACATATAGAATTTATTGTTTAAAGAAGAAGTCAAAGTAGTCTAAGTAGACTTCAAATAAATATTACATAGTTAACTTTTTCTCTTACTTTTTTCATTTTCTCTCTATGTCCATCTGAAACTATCTGCCTGCCTGGGTCCCTTTCTCTCTGTGTCCCTTTCTGTATGTTTCTCTGTGTGCACCTCTCTATGTGTCCTTCCCTCTGTGTGTCTGTTTATATCTATATCTTCCTCTCAGTCTTTATCTTCCTCTCAGTCTTTATCTTCCTCTCAGTCTTTATCTTCCTCTCAGTCTTTATCTTCCTCTCAGTCTTTATCTTCCTCTCAGTCTATATCTTCCTCTCAGTCTATATCTTCCTCTCAGTCTATATCTTCCTCTCAGTCTATATCTTCCTCTCAGTCTATATCTTCCTCTCAGTCTATATCTTCCTCTCAGTCTATATCTTCCTCTCAGTCTTTATCTTCCTCTCAGTCTTTATCTTCCTCTCAGTCTTTATCTTCCTCTCAGTCTTTATCTTCCTCTCAGTCTTTATCTTCCTCTCAGTCTTTATCTTCCTCTCAGTCTTTATCTTCCTCTCAGTCTTTATCTTCCTCTCAGTCTTTATCTTCCTCTCAGTCTTTATCTTCCTCTCAGTCTTTATCTTCCTCTCAGTCTATATCTTCCTCTCAGTCTATATCTTCCTCTCAGTCTATATCTTCCTCTCAGTCTATATCTTCCTCTCAGTCTATATCTTCCTCTCAGTCTATATCTTCCTCTCAGTCTATATCTTCCTCTCAGTCTATATCTTCCTCTCAGTCTTTATCTTCCTCTCAGTCTATATCTTCCTCTCAGTCTTTATCTTCCTCTCAGTCTTTATCTTCCTCTCAGTCTTTATCTTCCTCTCAGTCTTTATCTTCCTCTCAGTCTTTATCTTCCTCTCAGTCTTTATCTTCCTCTCAGTCTTTATCTTTCTCTCAGTCTTTATCTTTCTCTCAGTCTTTATCTTTCTCTCAGTCTCTTCCCTTCAGTCTCTCCTTCTCTCGCAGTCTCTATCTCTCTTCCCATATCTAGCCTCTCATACTATCTATATCTCTTCCTATCTATCTGTTTCCCCATGTAGCTTTATTCCTCTCTCTGTCACTCCTCCCTATCCTTTAAACATTTTATTTAGACATTTTAAGATAAACATTCAACTCGATTCCAAATATTTATAAAACAATTCCAACGTTGCTACCGAAAATGCCGTTTGGACTCACAGCGAGATCCCTTAGCTAATAAAATAGATAAATCTGAAGCGCATGGGCAACTCTCACTTTCAAACGTTTGGCAACGCCGCGCCGTTTGTTTAATGGCGCTTTTATTGGCCACACTAAATAGGAATTATCGCTATCAACTTTAATTAAGATCGCCGACATGCGGCTCGAACGTTTAGCAACAATTGGGAATAGTTTTTATATATTTTTTTATTTTCAGTTTTTTGTTTTTTTTTTTTCAGCCACTTTTTGCTGTCGGCCTCCAGTCAAGGCGCCTTACCCATAATTCTACGGGTAAGTTGGAAGCTAATTGGCAGCTTGTTTTCAGTCTTAACATTTATAGGTTGTTTCTCAGTTATTTTTTGTTGCTATTTTTGATTTAGATTATTGACGTTTTTTTCTGCTTTAAATGCCAAAGCAATTTGCGGACATGCCCTAAAAATCGCTTAATAAAAACTATGCGTTTGCCGTTCGATCGCGATCGTTATAAATAATAATTGTGAGCGAGTGGACTCTGCTTACCGTTCTAAATCCGTATAGACATTATCACAGACTTCACAGCGTATGTCGAAACCGTTCTCGTCGTCCACGAAATCGTCGCTCTGACTAATTACCGATATGTTTTTCTTATCCTTGGCAAATTCGTCGCCGCTGTAAAAGCCTGAAAATGGAAATTGTGAAAGGATGAAGGATGGATTATTAGTTAGAATTAAAACATTTTTCAAATATTTTATATGTATTTTTGTTATATGATTCTTGTTATGTAAAAACAATTATAAATTGATCAATATTTTTTTATTAGTGAAAATTTTCCTCAAGTGTTATAATCTATAAACTGTAAAAGAAATAATTAATATGGATTGAAATGAATTAAATTTTATATAAAGAATTTTCATATATTTTCATCAATTAATTTGCTTGCAATATAAGCTTGCTCTATTTACACGTATATTTTTCGAAAGCCTCAACTCAGTAAAAATGTTATAGTAAAAAATATAAATTTATTTTTACTATCAAATATTATAATATAAAAATATTTATGAAAATAAATTTTAAAAATTATTTTTAAAAAAAGATTTAAAAATATCAAAAAGTAATATTTGAATATTTTTTAAAACTATGTTTAAGAAATTAATAATATTTTTTTAAAATATTATAAGTTAACTTTAGACCTCTGAACTTTCGTCACTCTTAATTATTTTTTTTTAATATTTGATATTTTTTTTTATTTAGTTTTTTATTTCTTTTATTTTATTTCTGCTTCAATTTGATTTCTAAATATTCGCAGTTCGGTTTCTTCGCACTATTTACAACACTCACACTTTAGTTGGAACCTCTTCACTTGCCGACAGAGGATTCGATGATGATATTATATATGTCTATATGGTTATATGGGTTAACAATCTAGGGAGCACTTGACACAACCGTTCGGTTTCGCGTTTGAGGAACAAGTGTGTCGCAGTGGGCGCATTATGCCGCCGAGCTAATGTTTTATTTGCTTGCTAACAATCTGCGGAAGGACTAGCCAGGACGCACTGACATATGACCAGCACACACACACACACACGCACACCAGGACCAACACGCAAACACTTAACACAAAATTGGTAGCAGCGACCAAATCGTGTGTGCACTCATATAGTTCATATGGGGTATAGAGCTTGACGTTGAATAGATAATTGTTACCAAAATGAAAGTAAAGCACCCTCAGCCCACACACACAACGACAGAGAGAGAGACAGATAGCAGAGTGTGTGAGAGAGAGGTGGAATGACAATTCCGAGGGGAAATGACTATCAGAACGGACGGCACTTGGCCAGGCCAGAAGTCCGGCGACTTGGACGCGTCGTGAACTTGGACAACCACCAGGTGACACAGGTGAGCACAGCAACAGCCCCTTAGCCCTCTGCCCTGGCCAAGAATGCAGCCTAAGGGATGACAATGCCGAAAGATTATGCATGCAAACATATAAACACATCCACGGCCAGGACGCCGAGAGGGGGAGACCAGGACTCGCTTGGTTAGCGCGGTTAGCTTCGGTTCCGTTGGACTGATTTTGGTTCGAAAGTCATATAGCACCTTATACCAAAACAAACCGAAACTGGCTGGGCACAGGTGTTGCCTCTCAAGGCAGACCACCCCCACCCATAGGTGACTAGGGGCGACTCCTGATGAATACGTATTGTGCTTCTCGTCAGGCTGCATAATTGCGGGTCGCGTCTATGTTTCGGGTCAAAAGTTAATTTTCAGCGTGTGCAATATGATCAAAGGAGGGCAACTCCGACTGCGACTCCTACTCGCCGTCCGAGTCAAGGATTCCCACGTCAAGTTCCTTATGGCTGGCAGCGTGGGACATTGGGCGGGTTGATTTTCACCCATGTTTTCTGGGCAGGCGCAGCGTCAGCTGTGGGCCGCAGATAAGGCGCCGGCTGAGAAAACTTTTAAGTAGCACCAAGTGGCATGCCTCCGATGGCATATGGATGTTAGCTAATTGCGTATGCAAAGTGACATTAGGCAATTTCCTCATACAGCTGCAGTTTCTACTGTGGGAACAAGTTTACAATGGAAGATGTGCTGGGATATAGAATTACTTTCAGCAGCTATTAAGACTAGACTTTATGGAAAAAATTATACATATATATAGATATATATAAATATAGATATATATATATTTATATAAAGTCTGCTATTTTTATTCATATTGAATACTTTCACATAGAAACTAGGCTTGAATGCTTAGACTTAAATTTTATGAAAAATTAATTTTTTGTTTTATTTTTAAGAAAATTAATTTTTTTAGGTAATATTTAAAGATTGATATCTAAACATTTTTTAAGTCTTAAATTATTTAAGAAAAATTTTATGCGCGAAGCAAAGCGCTAGATTATCAACACGAATATGAGCTATACGAGGTGTGCTCTAAAAGTATCGCAAATTTTAATTTTTGATTTTGAAACTCATTAATTAAAAAAATTTTTAGTTATGTTGCCATTCAAGTACCTCATCTAGATCAACAATTTTGGTTTTTTGTTTTTGTTTTTTCTTTACAAAAATCTAGCAAAAAATCTGTAGCAAAGCAGCCAACATATTCCCAAGACTTTAACTGAAACCGAAGAGGGCCATGAAAGTACTGAGAAGATTGAGAAGTATTCGAAGGATTCACAAAAAATTACTTGCTATGGCACAAAAGCATAATTTATGATGTAAGCTACTTTGAAGAGAAATCGAAAAGTTATTTAAAAATAAAAACAAAAATTAAAAAAAAAAAAAGGAACAAAAAGTCACATGGAAATCTTGTCTGTTGCAGCCCAAATCTTTCTACACTCTAAAAAAAAGAGTTGGAATTCCGCAATTGAGCAGTTGATCAGAGATTGCTTAAGACAAGCAATTCTTTACTCATCTATGATCTATTAGACTCCCAGCCTTATCAGTGAGCATGGGCCTCACCCCTTGAGAGCTGGCCCCCTTTCTGTGCTGGCAGCACAGGCAGCGAAATCCTTTCACACCTTTCACCAGTCGCAGCTGTTTGGCTATCCACCTGGCAGATTGATTTACTCCACAGCGCTCGACTGGCTGACAATTGAATGGAGGCGGGTTTTCAGAAGTATTTGTTGCGCTGCAATCAGGATGGCAGATTGAGAGACACCGCTGTGGCAGTGGCAGGGGCAGGGGCAGGGGCGAGCGGCTTGCGCCTGACCCTGAATTGTGAAACGTGTTGTGTGTTTTCATATCGAAACGGAAGCCAAAAACTGTTGACAAATGATTGATTGAATTATTTACACCTTACAACTACCGTGGCAAAAATCAAAAGTTAGATCCGCCTGCTAATCGATTTGGCAGCCGGTCAGAGTTAAAAAAAAAGCAACAAAAAAGGGTTCGGCTGGGTCTCTAATCAAATATGTATATAAAAAACAACTCCTAATGATGCCCAAATTGACGACCGATGATCATTTAGCTGAAGAAGCCAAGTTTTCGGTTTTCGGTTTTCGGTTTTCGTTAGGTAGTTTTTGGTAACTTGGCATATAACATGCCAGCTCATTAATCATCCATTGGAGACAATGTCACAGTGTGTGTAGTGTCTGTGTGTGTGTGTGGCAGTTAGTTTTGGGCTTGGTCTGGCTCTTGGTATTGGCGTGTGCCCCTTGATCAACTGGCAATCGCAACTCGGCATCCATCGAGCATTGAATTCAATTGTTAATCTTTGATTGGTCGATTGAAGTCGCACCGCGCGCTAAGCTGAAAACCATCTCAAAAGTGCTTTAGTGCTTTATTTCTATATATTTCGTGTTTTTTCTTCATCAAATACTGAATGTTTTTGTCATTTGGCAGTGGAACGAGAAGTTTCAGCACATGAAAGACTCAATTGTAAGCAGAAGTGATATAATATAAGTAAAGCTTTATATATCCAATCCATTTTTCAGACATGATTTTCAAATGTAATTTTATCAACAATTAATCAATTCTTTAAAGTAAAATAATATTAGTTGCTTAAAGCAAGTCTCTTCTTATTTGTTTATCAATATTAGGAGCAGATCCACTCTACAAGTAAACTCTGCCAGGGAAGTCTTTGAGTTGATAGAAAAAGGGAGAGCTATTTATGTACTATATCATAAGGCAGCCAAGCCAAATATAGGTTGAATTGATAAGTCTAACAAGAAATTGATGTTTTTATTTTAAATCAAGAGAGACAAATGAACTGCGGTTAGTTTACTGATCTTAAAGAGCATTGCTGTTGCTCTTTAAGATATCATGCCCTTGTTTCTTCTGCTACTAAGATCACTGCTGGTGCATTGGTGTAGGCGTTTTTTAAAATGCCGTCGGAAAACATATTTAAATGCACATACATATTATATTCATATAATATTTGTATCAATAAAACTTACTAAAGCAACTATTGTCCAAACTTGATCGTAAAATTTTGTTTATGTTGGCTTTTCGATGGGTAAAGCATTAAGCAACTAATTTGACTTCAGGTTCAATAATAAAATAATAAATAAATTTAAAAAAAGCACAAAATAGGCAATATTATTTAAAAAGATTTAAAAATTGATCAAATATTGTCAAGCTTTAAAATTAAAATGAATTGATCAAATTAAATATGAAAATACAAATTGAACAACAAAAAAACTCATAGTAAAGTTAAAATTAAATTAAAAAAAAAAAAATTAAATAATATGAATACACAAAATTCACAATAAAAATAAAAATTGTTAGTAATTCATTTAAATATTTAAAAATTAAATTTATAAAATATGTAAAGTATTCAAAATGAATTTTAAAAAAAAAGTCATAAAAGCTAAACAAATTTATAAAATTTCAAAATTTTTTTAAACATTTTTGCAATTTATAACCATTTTAATAGAAATTTATTCTCAAATTTAGAATAAATAAAAAAAAAAACTTAAAAATTATCAAATAAAATTTGATCAAATTTATAAATATATGAACAGCTGGTAAAATGCATAAAAATAAGTTTTTTGGCACTCGTGAAAATGAATTTTTATTTTAAATTGAATAAAATTTAAGAAAATTCTAAGTTATCAAAAATATTTCTAAGCAATATGAAAAATGCCATGAACGAAACGCAGTTTCAGTTCAAGAAATTCCTTTTCTGTTGGTCTAAACCGAATGAAAAATAGCAGTTAAAGGAAATGTAACGGTCAGTGCTAGTAACCCCCGTTTAGAGGGCAGCGATGCTTAGCATTTCGAACTTATGCCGCAATTGTGCTACCCCTACGAGGAAAACCCTCGAGGATCGCCGTCTTATGTGGCCAACAGGGCGTGAACTAAAAAACTTGACTCGAATATGTTAAAAAATACGTTAAAAAGTGAGCAGCGAAGGCGCACAGGTGTGCAGCTTGTTCGCTTCGCTCTCTTTTTAATTGCAAAAAGATTTCAGCAGCTAAGCTCGGCATATGCTAATTAAAACATATATATATATATATATATAACTATATCAAATATGAAAATGAAAAAATATTTTTAAGCTGACATTGATGCAAAGATAAGCAAAAAAGTTGAAAAGCCAGCAACAACAACGTATCAGTGGCAAAGCCCTATGGGAATATGGAATATTGTCAAATGAGACGTGCGCGTAAATCCCACATATTTATAGGCAAACACGGAGCACCCCAGTGTGCGTTAGGGTGTGGATTAGGCTTAAATTAAGCGTGCGCGCCGCGCTGATGGATCTCTAAATGAAATTAACAAACATTTTAATAACAAATGAAAACATGTGCGGTTGCCGCAGATTGCATGCGCGCATGCGCAAAAAGGATATGCGGAGGGGTTGAGCCCTGATATAGGGGATGCTGCTGGTTGTTGCTGCTGTTGTTGCTGCTGTTGTTGCCGCTGGCTCGTGCCGTTGACTTTGTCACGCGCATTGAGCTCTAATTGCCACAGCCTCAGCTGCACAATTTATCCTGCTGCCAGCATATATATTTATATAGCTATATATACGATATATCTACAACTCAATCTCAATCTGAGCACTCACCATTATCACGATCGCTGCGATCATCGCTATTGTTGTTGTTGTTGTTGCTACTGGCTGCTGCCATGGCGGCTGCTGCAGCGGCGGCGGCTGCTGCTGCCGCCGTAGCCGCTGCTGCCGCTGCTGCTGCGCTACTGCTGCTGCCGCTGCTGCTGCTGCCATTCCTTAAGCTGTCGCTGATGTCGTAGGGCGTGCGGGAACGAGCATCGACCACAATTTCAGCGCCTGCACTAATATCCCGTTTCGTCTCGTACCACAGCTAAATGGAAATGCCATAAAGAATAATTAAAAAAATCGAATGTAAAAAATGCTAATCATTTGCTACGCACACAACGATCGCTGATGAAATTCCTTAAATTAGCCTCTTCACTTTCCTCGACGGGAGCGTTGCGTATTTTTTTCAGCCATGTGGCCACATCAGCCGAGGGTTCCAGCCAGCCATGGAACAGCGGTCTGGCAATTACCTGAAAAAAATAAACAGAAAAAAATTTAATTTAATTACAAATATTTCATATTGCATTAAAAATTCAAATGGTAAAACGCTACTGCTGGCGCCATCTGTTGTCTGCAATGGCGCATAACTGTGCTAACTGACATATGTTAGCGAGCTTAGCGCAGACGCAAACCTACAGCGCTGGCAACAACCACCGTATGACAGCGGTAAAGCGTAGTAGAAGTGTCTAAAAATAGTAGTTTCTAGTCCAAAAAAGTAGCAAAAGTGCAGGCACTAACTCAAAAGAGAGTATATTAAATAGAAAATGTAGCGTAAACAGAAAAATTTAGTTTATAAAACAAGAAAAAATATTAAAGAAAATAAAAATTTTAATATTAAAAAATAAAAGACAAAATGATAATTCAGAAAAATTAAATATGAAATTCAAAATTAACAATAAAAATATTTGTTGATAAATAAATATGTTAAAAACAAAAATAAATAAAATATAAGAATAAAAATATTTTTTAAATTTGTCAAAATATATTTCCCTATATACAATTTCGATCATATATCAATTACTCGATTATTCTTTAGCCAATTTATTCAAAAGCTAATCTTAATGCCTTTTAAGCACAGAAGTACCGCATCACGCCCCCTACGCCGGCGCCACTTGATTGATCGCAAGGTCATTTGCAGAGTGCAGAAAAAAATTGCAGCAAAAGAGCAAAAACAATAGGCAAAGCGCAGAAACGCCGACAGTTTTTGTATGCAAAATAAAAACAGCGTCTCAGCTAGAGCAACAGCAACGACAACAACCGAGAAGCGTCGCTAAATACGCATAATTTATACAAATCGTCGACTGCGGTTTGGCAGCCAAAGACGCAGCGACGCCAACAGAAGCAGCAGCAACGGCAGCTAAATGACTTGCGTTTACCGTTACGCCGTCGCAGTCGACGCCAGACGACGCCGCCGGGCTCTTGTCCAACAAGTCGAATGGAAAAACGGTGCTTTACCGATTTTGTTTTCTTCTTTTTTTTTTTGGTTGCATTCTTCATTAAGTGCCGAGCGTCTGCATGCGCTTGTATGTGTGTGAGTGGGAGAGTCTGCAGAGTTTGGGCAGAGCTGCGGCAGAGTAGGAGAGTACTTGTGAGTGTGTGCGTGCGAGAGCATATGTTTGTGCACGCTCCAAATATTAAGTTAACAACGCTCAAGTGCTCGCGCCGTGGCGTATGCAAAGAATTATTTCAAACCAACTTTATATCGAAGCACACACATATGTATTTATATGCATACGCAAGTATTTTTTATAAAATAAAATTCAAGTTGCGTTTTACACATGAGCGCAGCTGCTGCACAAGTGCATGCGTGTGCGTTGCTGTGTGTGTGTGTGGTCAAGTGCGGGTGAAACGATATGTGAAATTTGGAACGAACACGGCTTCAACTGATGAAGAGCACATACATACTTATATTTGTATGTATAAGCAAAATAATGAGAACATGAGCCCAACTTATTTTATGTGAACATATTTTAATAGTTAACTTAAAATATACATATAAATGTATAAAAAAATTGTCAAGTTTTTGTAAGGGAATGCCATGCATACTTAAGGAGAGTTTTTCATATGCGTGAATATATGAGTGTATGAATGTATATGAATACATGTAGGAATGTACATAAATAGATAAATGTATATGAATATTAATGTATCAATGTGTATGTATGTGTATGTGTATGTATTTGAATATATGAGTGTATATGAATATATGTATGTATATGAATATGCATGTGTGAATGTCTGAATGTGAGTGTATGAATGTTTGAATATCTGTATGAATGTTTGAATATATTAATGAATGAATGCATGAGTGTATGAAAGCATGAATATATGAATATATATATCATTGTATGTACTATGTACATATGTACGAGTGCATGGAAAGTTTAGCCAACATAGAAAGTTATCAGAGTTAGTAAACTCAATGTAACTTCAACTTCGATTTAAATCGAAGTCAAATCAGACTTCTCTCAAGGATTCTCACATGAGAAATCGTTTTTTATTTGATGCCACAACTGCAAAACATGAGCTAATCGCTGCGCCGTCAGACATCAGCCATAAACAGAGCTCAGGCTGAGCTCAGTCGGAACGGAAATTGCAATATGAGTTGGTCACCAGGAGATAAGATCATAAGGATATCCAATAGATAGATAACAGGACTAAAGCAACTTAGCAACAAGCCAAAGACTACGACGGCTGGGCAGCTACATGAGAAGTTGTCGTTGTTGTTGTAGTTGTTCTAGTTGTCATTGCTGTGGGCTAATCCCTGCTGCAAGCCGGCACATGTGACAGAGCCAAAGGAAAAAACGTGTCCTGCTACCGTTTGTAGCTATTCATAACTTTATTAAAAAAATGAAAAAGAGGCCACAAAATGCGTACAAAAACATGGCATAGTCAATGGGCAAGAAAAATATTTACGCGCCAGAGATAATCTCTTCAAAGTGTTGGGTTCACACCACGGCTTCAGGGGCTTCAAATTGCCAGAGATACAGAAACAGCTAAAGATACAGCTACAGATACAGATACAGATACAGATACAGCCAATGTTTCTGTCAAAACGGAAATGTGAACGAGCGAGAGAAAAGTGCGCTTGATTTGAGGATCATCCAGTGAGCAAAAAAAAAATTCATATATATATGAAAAGGAAGGGATCAGCGCAAGGACTGTCTGTCAACGTGTCCTTTTGCCAATTTTGCCATTGCCAACTGTCGCTTTGGCTCGAGTGCCGGCAGCAACAACAACAATAATAATATTGTTGCAATACCTGAATGAGAGACAGAGACGTAGGCTGAGAGCAGAGCCTAGGGTAGGGGCTGTGCTCGCATTGACAATTGTCAACAGGCTCTAGGCGCGATAATTTGATTGGATTGTCTGTCAGCTTGTCTGCCTGCAAAAGTGTCAGTTGACCGACCGGCCGACCGACTGACTGACACTCAATCGAAGGGTTCGTGTCCCAAGCTAATTGGAATCATCAGGCCGAGCCTCAACTTAAGCCTCATTTAGGGCGCACTTTGTGGATGGCCCGGTGAGAATCACAAAATTAGCTCTGGCCAAGGATTAGGCACATTTGACTGACAATTGAGCGCAGCCCGGAGCTAGAGCCACTGCTAATCAAATCTTTTTCCAATCGTTTGATTTTCCCTGAAAAACGTTCACAATTTTTGTGCAATTTTCGCATAAAAATTTCGCGCGCAGCTTTGATGGGATTAAATTTCCCGAGCGAGAAAAAAAAAGGAAGCGGAAATTGGACACGATTTGCAGACCAAAAAATTCGCACATATGCGAAAGAATTATATATATATATATAAAGAGGGAGGGAGTGGCAAATATGATATGTGTATCTATAACATTGTCACGAGCTGAAGAAAATATTTCAATTTGCGGTTTTCTGGCATAAAATAGCATCAAAAGTAGGAATAGAAAATGAATAAAATACAATAATAAAAAGATCAGTATGATCAAGTTCCTCGAATACAGATCGTCTAGTTCAAAGTTGAGAATTGCAACCACGTCATGCCTTATGCTAGTTTAGATGATAATACTATCTTTTATTGCTATAGTTATAGTTAATGATAAGCTGTTAAATTCTAAGAAATAGACTCCTCTATATCTCAATTTAAGTGTTTTTTTGGTAATTGTTCTAATAGCGTCAACAAGTTTTATAATCTATTAAAGGAAGCACTAAAATGAAAATCAGATAGTAATATCAAATTTAGCTATAAATAGATGGAACATAATAGATGATATAACAGCTAAATATATTTTAAAGTAGTTCTGTTTCCCCTTAAGTCTACGCACTGAAAATTAACTTCTAACCATATCAGAGATATGAGATGATATCAGAGACCTGAGATCATATGAGACAGCATCGCATACAATTATATTTCAAATTAAATTTGTCTAGTAGATGCTAGAAGCATAGTTGACTCACCTCATAGGCCAGCTGGCGATCGCTGGGCTGCTGACACAGGTGCATGGGAAAGGGTCCGTAGCGGGAGCCGCATGGCAGATCGGTCTTGGCATAGACGCCAGTATCACGGATGTCCAGATCACAATAGGGGTCGCGCAGGCGCGCCATTTGCATTAGAAACTCCTGCGCCTTGTCATTTAGCAGGAGCTCCATGTTGGTGCCGCTGCCGGAACCGGAGCCGGAGCCGGAGCCGGAGCCAGAGATCAAGGCGGATGCGGAAGCGGGAGGCGAACGTTGCAATCGCTGTTGCTGCAACTGCAGCGATAAATGGGGCGGGGGCAGCGGCGGTGGCTGCTGCTGCTGTGACTGCGACTGCGACTGCTGCTGAAGCAGCGTGGCAGGTGGCGGGGATATCGTTGGCGGCAGATGGCGGCCGAACGTCTCCTCGGGCCGAACCTGGCTGGAGGTTAAATGCGCCGGCGGCAGCGGACCAAAAGCCGGCGCTCCACTGCTGAGATCCAAATGATGATGGTGGTGATGATGATGGCGCACGACGCTCGGATCGTAGTCGTCGCCGTTAGAGCCTGCGAAAGAAAAACGATAACAATAACGATTAACGATTATCGATTAACGATTAGTGTTTAACATTGCTATTTGACTTTGCTCGAGTGGACCGTAATCCACATCAAGATCAATTGCCCAACGACTGTCAGTCCGCAAATAGAAAGAAAGAGAGATAAAGACGTATCTCTGACAATGACAACATGACAGCACCCACACACACACACAAGCGACATCATATCAGCATGTTATCGAAATTGTCATCACTGTTTAATTTGATGTTTGGCTCTCTATCTCATTGAATTTTGCAATCGTTGTGCACTTCAGAGACGGAGATACTCAGAAAGTGATAGAGGGGGAGAGAGAGACAGAGAGAGTAGGCGACTCCTAAATTTGTACATCGATTATCTATAGTGTAGCCCCACTGTATCGCGCCATGGCGTTGCGAGTGAAGTGTGCGTTTGAAGCTCACCTGCAGATCGAGTTACACGATCGTATTTGATTGCTTGTTGTTATGCAGCCTGTGCAAACAATGTCTTCGAATCGAACACCTCGCGGAAACAATTCGAAATATTTCTGATATTTTGTTTATTTGCTATATTAAATTTTTTATTTCTGCATTTGGTTTTCTATTTATTTCGAAAGATGTGACTTGTTCAGCTGTTGTTTATCAAATAAATAGACAAAACAACAGAACAACGATTCCCCGAACCAGACTAGACATTTGAGATGACATTTAACTCAGCGCTAGAAGTTTCACCCAAATGATACCGACTTTCCCTTCATTTGCCTGAGACAACCAGCAACAAAACTAACTGAATTGAATATCCTTTGATAATATACTAATTTCAAATAAGCTGTACGAATAATGAATACATATATTTATATATTTTCAGATATGTGCAACAAAGTAGATGACAACATTTATTTGTTTAACGTCTTTGCTGCATTTGAAGTAAATTCGTTCAGGTTAAGCTTGAAATTTTGTATGGCAAATATTTGATATCCTAGTCTGAAGTAAAGTCAATTTAATTACAAATTTATTTAAAGTTTTAAAATGTTTATTATATAAACATGATTAAGATTAAAGTATTTCAAATACTCGATTAGTTAAATTTTCCTGCTAACTGATATCAATAATCATTATCATTTCCATTACTTGCAACAAAATAGATTGAATGTACCGCTGAGTATACTCCTCAAACACTTTTCAAATAATACATATTTTTATTAAATGCTAGAGGAATTACTCTCAGGCATTCTCTTTTAGATTATCTCTATATATTTGCATTTATTTCAAACAAAATCTAGACAAAACTCATTTTGTATGTATTTAGACAAATTTTAACAAAATTCAATTTTAAAACTTTAAAAAATGTTCAATTTTTCCCAAATATTTAAGATTTTGATGCAAACAATTTTTTATTATTTTTCCGACTTTATCAGTTTATCTCGCTCTCTATGTCTTTCTATCTTTTACTCGCTCTCTCTTTCTCTGTGTCTCTTAGTCTATCTCTCTCGCTCTTCTCTCTCTCTCTCTTATCTCTCCATCTCTCTCTCCCTCTCTCTATCTCTCTTACTCTGTCTCTTTATATTTCTCTTCTTATCCCACTTTCACCAAATAGCTCTCCTCTTTTCTCTCTTTCTATCTCTCTCTCTCTCTCTCTCTCTCTCTCTCTCTCTCTCTCTCTCTCTCTCTTACTCTTTATCTATAACTCCGTCTTGCTGTATCTTTAGTAAGTGCTCATAGCTCATATTCCCATAACTTGAAAAGCTCTTAACAAGCCTTAACACACTTTTAATCCCACACCAATTTTCAACACACACACCCCCACACATACTCACACAGATAATCATGAAAAACACTTGTCAAAAATGTTGCACAAATTACGCACCGATTATTTATTTATTTACTGTAGTTGTTGCTGTTGCTGTTGCTGTTGTCTGGGGCTTGCAGCTAGCTACCTAGTGGCTTATTTAAACACTTGAAACTAAATCGTAATTTGAGCTGTTAGACAGAAATATATATGTATATATGACATGCGCTGTCCGAGTTACAGGGCAACAAATAGCCCAGATAAGAAGCAAGTGAAAACGAGAACGAAAACGAGAGCCCGAAAAAAGATATCGTCCAGTCAGTCAACGCACACACGACAGCCCGCTATAGGTAGTAACAGTAACAGTAACAGTAATAGGAACTCTTGTCGAATGGCCAGTTGATAAGTATCTGCCATATAAATAAGCCGCACACAAACACAGCTATAGAGACACCCGCACCCGCACCCGCACCCGCACCCGCACACACAATGGCAAGTGGTTTACCAAATACGAATCCAATCCACAGCAAGCTGACAGTTTTCGCACTTGCCTGGCACACGCTATTTGCATAATATCCTCAGCAAACTCATCTGAAATCGAGCCTTATTTGCCCTCTCTCTCTCGCTCTCCTCTGTCTCGCTTTGAAGTGCCTTTTGTGGGCACCGCCTGTCTTCGCGCCCACCAAACCAGAACTACACTAAGTCCATCCGCTGGCTATACAGTTATAATCGTCGCCCAGCTATATAGCATAGCATTTCGTTGGCGATAAGCGCGATGAGTACTCGGTATCAGTTTGGCTATTCCTTTAACTGTACCGGCGCACCGAGCGGGGGCTCTTTTTCGGGTTCTTCACGGCTATCATGACAATTTATTATTCACATCCACTTAGGCACATGTGTTTTGGTTTAAGTTTTTGGTGCTGTTTGGGGTCTCTGCTAATTAGTTTAGTTAATTACATTTCGGATTTGTTTTAAACTGTAGCAAACTGCGCTTTTGTTCTTCAATTTTATTTTATTTTCTTTTCTTTTCTTTGATAAGATGCCAACTGTGAGTCATGCGAGCTGCAAGCTGCCGTACAACAATGGCAATCGCTTAAATATCTCACTGAGAAAGGTTTAGAAATAGTTTTCCGTTGACTCCAATTTAGACACTATTTCAGCAGTTATCAGATCTCAATTACTATTTTAAATGCTCGTAGTAGTCTTAAGTATTTCATTTTCCTTGATTTCTATTTTTCAGCTTTTATATAATATAATAGAATTCTTGAAAGGCTTCTCATTTAGCAAACATTTCCTAAGTTTTATTCACCATTTCCATGCTCAAATATCTATTACATAAATACTTTCAATTAACCTAAATGTTTTTGTTTTCAGACCTAATTCGTCTTTGTTCTAGCTTAAATGAAGTTGAGAAATCGAAGACGAATCTTAATTACACTGAGACTTTAAGTCTGATAGATCAGTCACTAATCTATTGCTAAAGATACTTTATAAAGAGTATCCATGAGGTATGTGCAATGAGTGTGAGTACAACTCACAGTCCATCTGAAATATCAGTGATAAATCACGATTCTATTCGCTATAGTGTTTCTCATTTCAGGTCTATATATATTTAGTATCTGTGATAAGTTTGTGGTTGCGAAAGATATTCAATAACTTTATAGATAAAGCAATCTTTGTTTAATTTTCTTAAAATATTCTAACAAAGAAAGCCTCAACAATATTTGTCATATTTCAATTAATGTAATATAAAAAGTTTTTAAGATATATTGCACTGAATCTTCGCAGCAGATACTTCGTGAAAAGTATCTATAAGATACAAATTAAAGATACGTATTTAAAAACACTTTTTGCATGAATCACATTTAGCACTTTATAAAGTATCCAAAAGATAATGTATCTATCTTTGAGATGTATCTATGAGTTACCTTATTCGAAAAGCGTTTACTTTTCATAAAATTGTACACACACAGGGAAAAGTATCTGCGCAATTAAGTGCAACTCGTCATGTTTCCATAAAGTATCTTAAAGATACTTTAATTGAAAATTGAGCTAATTAGCCAGCTTACAGAAAACGACTTGAAGCTTCTCTCACACACGTCTGCACTGTCACACAATGAATGGAAAACTAAATCCGTTTCCTCCATATATAATCGCAATGTTTGCGCCTAGCCGCGGGGGAGTGTGGATACGCCTACATATAGCTCTAATGTCTCTGTTTCAAAGTAGCTGCTGCGAAATATTTGTGGCAACATCAATTGGTAACTCAAAACTTGACGTTCGCCATAAAAAAGCACTGATAAACGCGAAGAGGCCGGCAGGGGCTGGGGCACCTGGAGGGAGGAGGGGGACTGGGCGATGTATCCAGCTAACGATAGACACCAGATAAGCGATATAGGTATTTAGTTGAAACCAACCTGATATAATATAACGTTCGAATAACATGATACGCGTTTCACTTGTAGCTAACACAAATTACAATTGTAAACAAATTTCAGATACATTTGGTCGGCGGAACGCGACGCGACATGGCTACCAAGTTGGAGCTGAAAGCGCGGCCCACGTTACGTATGCGCTATATTATAAATATTTCCTTTATTCTCGAACGTTTTTCTTGAATTATATATATTTGATGTGTGTTTATATTCGATTTGGTGTCGTCTCTATCTGCCGGTTGTCTTCGCAAGACTGAGTACCGAACGGATACGTGACGCTGGCAGCGCGACGATAGCGAAAAAAAAAAAACAAAAGCAGAACGTCAGCGTCGACAGCGTCCGAGACGGCGACAGCGACCGCGACAGCGACGTTTGGCTGTGATTTCGTTTGCTAGTGCGCGCACAGCGACCAACTAACTGACTAAGTGATGATGTTCAGTCGACTGCCGAGTGCAGAGCACTGCAATGGAAATGGCATCGGGGGGTGCACAGCAGAGGCGTCGCTTTGGTTGGTTGTTGCTGCCGCTGTCGCTGTCGTCGTCGCTGTCGCCGTCGCTGTCGCTGTCGCAGTTGCCGTCGCAGTTGCTGCTGCTGCTGTTGTTACTGCCAATGGTGGTGGCAGAGGCCACAGGATGCCACAGACGATGATGCTGATGATGATGATCGAGCTGCTGACTATCTGCCACCGCAGGGGTTGCAAAAGAGAGTGACACCAACAGAGAGAGGAGAGTGAGAGAGAGAGCGACGGAAAGAGAGCGTGAGAGAGGCAGCGCAGCGCATATATCTGTGTCTGTATCTGACTACCCTGCAGGCAGGCGCTCTCTGCGTGTGTGTGCGTGTGCGTGCTTGAATCTGTGTCAGTTTCATAAGCATCAACAACAACAAGAGCACAACGTTTTGTTCTGATTGGAATTGAACAGAGCCGAGGCTCTGACGGAGCTCCTGCTTTAGCTGCTGCCTGCTACTTGTTGTTGTTGTTGTCTGCCTGGCCGCAAAAGGATAGCAAAAATCCCCCCACACACACATAGACACTTACACATACTCCAATGTGTGTGTGTGTACATAGCGCTCTTATTTACTCTGCACAGTTTTCCTATCAGAATGCAGCAGCACACCGCTGTATGTATCTCACAGATACACGACAAAAACGTGAGCCGCATCATCAACAACAACAACGGCAGCAGCAGCGGCAGCAGCAGTCGCAGTCGCAGCTAGCCGCAGCAGCAGCAGCTGAGGGGAGGAGCCAAAGCAGGATAATAGGGCGTGCACATCTTCGCATTCATTATGCACACATACACCTACACAGAGGCAGACAGAGAGCCACAGATACACAGCTGCAGATACACAAACTGAGAGATACAAATACAGTTGGCTGCTGTGCGCCTGCTGTCCCGCTCGCACACACCTAACTTATT